TTTTGCTGCGCACTAGACTTGAAAATTGCACTATGTACTCTGGTTGACAGCGTTTGGGCTGTAAATGAGTCTTCTGCTATCGGTATCGCCCGATTGCAACGTTCTTACTTGTTTTAGTTGTTAACTCTATTTTACATTTTGTAAATATTTTTTCTTAAAGCCGCCAATACCATCAACTGAGGGAACTGACCCATTTGAAATGATTTGTGATGATGCACAAATTGCTGAATGGAACAATCAAGGATTACCAAGTGATCGTATGTCTGCAGAAAATGCTGCCATTTTGGTTCAATCTCAGCGATATCCTCTTATGATTGATCCCCAATTGTGAGTATTAAATTAACAAACAAAATTTAAACTAAATTTTTGATTAGGCAGGGAATAAAGTGGGTTAAAGCAAAATATGGGTCGTCCCTTGTAGTATTACGACTTACCCAAAGGGGTTATCTTGACTTGGTGGAAAAAGCGGTAAGTAATGGAAACGTACTCTTAATTGAAAATATTGGAGAGAATGTCGACGCTGTTCTGAATCCATTACTTGGTCGTATGCTTATTAAAAAGGGAACCATTTTAAAGATTGGCGACCGTGAAATTGACTTTAATCCCAATTTCCGTTTGATATTGCATACAAAGTTAGCTAACCCTCATTATAAACCTGAAATGCAAGCCCAAACCACACTTATAAATTTTACAGTAACTCGTGACGGATTAGAAGATCAACTATTAGCCGAAGTAGTCAAAGTTGAAAGACCTGACTTAGAATCTATGCGAACTCGCCTAACTCAACAACAAAATCATTTTAAAATTACATTAAAACTTTTAGAGGATGATCTTTTGGCCCGATTATCCTCAGCTGGTGATAATGTTCTTGAAGATATAACTTTGGTCATGAATCTAGAAAAAACAAAGAAAACAGCGGACGAAATTGAAATAAAGGTTGCTGAAGCTAAGATTACAGGTGTTCAAATTGACACTGCCAGAGAAGCATATAGACCTGCTGCCGAGAGAGCTTCTATTATATATTTCATACTTAACGACTTATTTAAAATAAACCCAATCTATCAGTTCTCATTAAAAGCGTTCACAGTTGTTTTTAATAATGCAATGATTAACTCCACTCCGGCTGAGAAATTGAAGGATCGTGTTGACAATTTAATGGAATCAATTACATATAGCTGTTATATTTATACATCTCGAGGACTTTTTGAGCAAGACAAACTTATATTTCTCACCCAAATGTGTTTGCAGATACTGGTGAATATGGGTGAAGTTGAAGCAACTGAACTTGATTTTCTTCTCCGATTTCCATATATGCCTAATCAAACTTCTAATTTCTCCTGGCTTAGTCATACTGGATGGGGGGGTATTCGCGCATTAAATAACTTACCAGCTTTTAAAGGACTTGAAAAAGATATTGAAAGTTCGCATAAGCGATGGATGAAATTTATTGATTCCGAGTGTCCTGAGAACGAAAAATTACCTGGTGAATGGAAAACAAAATCAGCAATTCAAAGATTATGTATAATGCGGTGTATTCGCCCAGATCGGATGTCATATGCCATGAAAGGCTTCATTGATGAGAAATTAGGTTCAAAGTATATTGACGCACGGTCAATAGAATTCTCTAAAACCTTTAAAGAATCGAGCCCTGAAACTCATATCTTCTTTGTTTTATCACCAGGTGTTGACCCATTAAAGGATGTAGAAAAAATTGGCAAGGTCTTAGGTTACAGCTTTGATCATGAAAACTTTCATAGTGTATCATTAGGCCAAGGACAAGAAATTATTGCTGAAAAAGCTATTGAGATAGCTTCACAACAAGGTCATTGGGTCATTCTGCAAAATATTCACCTTGTTGCCCGTTGGCTATCCAGTCTTGAAAAGAAAATAGAGGCATCGCTAATCAATGTGAACCCGAAGTATAGACTTTTTTTAAGTGCTGAGCCTGCAGCGGATCCATTAAATCATATTTTACCACAAGGAATTCTTGAGTCTGCAATTAAAATTACCAATGAGCCGCCGACAGGAATGATGGCAAATATACATAAAGCCTTGGACAATTTTTCCGACGAAACTCTAGAGATGTGTTCTAAAGAAACAGAATTTAAGGCCATTCTTTTCTCACTTTGTTATTTTCATGCCGTTGTAGCAGAGCGACGTAAATTTGGACCCCAAGGTTGGAATAGATCCTATCCGTTCAATGTGGGGGATCTTACAATTTCTGTGTATGTTCTATTTAATTATTTGGAAGCTAATACTCGTGTTCCGTGGGAAGATCTACGTTATTTGTTCGGAGAGATCATGTACGGTGGACATATTACAGATGATTGGGACCGTCGATTATGTCGTACCTACCTTGAGGAATTTATGCAACCTGAGCTTATCGATGGCGATCTGGAATTCTGTCCTGGCTTTCCAGCTCCTGGAATTTTAAAGTACGCTGGATATCATCAGTATATCGATGAGCATTTGCCATCAGAAAGCCCTGCACTTTATGGCTTAAATCTTAACGCCGAAATTGGATTTCTGACTACAGTTTCAGAGCGTTTATTTCGAATAGTCTTTGAATTACAGCCTCGTATGTCAAGCGGCTCAGGTGGAGGTGGTGAGTCTGTTTCACAAGAGGATATTATTAAGGGTGTTATTGAAGACTTACTAGATAAAGTTCCCACACCTTTTAATATAGTAGAACTTATGTCACGTGTAGAAGATCGTAATCCTTATATTATAGTTGCCTTTCAAGAATGTGAACGGATGAACATTCTTATGTCTGAACTTAGGCGGTCACTTAACGAACTAGATTTGGGTCTCAAAGGGGAACTTACAATCTCATCCGTTATGGAGGACCTAATGTTATGCCTCTACATGGATCAAGTGCCTGAACAGTGGACCAAGCTTGCCTATCCAAGTTCTTTAGGTCTTCAGTCATGGTTTGGCGACCTAATACAGCGTCTTCGAGAATTAGAAAGTTGGGTTTCTGATTTTAAATTGCCATCATCTATTTGGCTAGCTGGCTTCTTCAATCCACAATCGCTGCTGACTGCTATTATGCAACAAACAGCACGTAAAAATGAATGGCCACTTGATCGAATGTGTCTTAACTGCGATGTTACTAAAAAATTTAAGGAAGAATTTACGTTAGTATTTTAAGTATTATTTTGTGTTTAATATTTTAATTACAATATTCCAAATAGTTCCGCTCCTAGAGAAGGAGCTTATGTAAATGGGTTGTTTATGGAAGGTGCTCGATGGGACATGAAAATGGGCACAATAACAGATGCCTTAAACAAAGAGTTATTTCCTTCTATGCCTGTTATTTACATTAAAGCCGTTACTCAAGACAAACAAGACACAAAGAATATTTATGAATGTCCCGTATATAAAATACGGTGAGTATGAAAAATAATTTTTTTTTTTAAATGTTTCTTAATTTTTATACCCTGAACCAATTAAAAATGGGAAAACAGGGTATAATGGTTTCCTTAAACATGTGTAGCAGACAGAAGGAGGCGTAGCAGACCCCATAAAGTATATATATTATTGATCAGGGCGACGAGCTGAGTCGATTTAGCCCCGTCCGTCTGTCCGTCCGTCCGTCTGTCCGTATGTATGAACGCGTCGATCTCAGAATATATAAGAGCTAGGGAATTGAATTTTTTCATAGGTCCATGTATACCACGCGAATTTTGTTTTGAGTTCTTTATTTTTGAAATTAAATAACATGGTTCAACTTCTTCAGTTAAGTCTCAGATTAGAACTGATCTTTATTCAAATGCTGCTAGCGTATTCTGGCGACATAGCTATTTTTTCTTTATTTCACAATATTGCTAGACATTTATGGCGCCAGTTGAGTAGCATAGCTATTTACTGCATAATTTTTATTTCACCATGTTGCTAGACATTTCATCATCACAAACCTGCAACATTTAGGTGTGGATTTTGTCTCTTAGTGATGACAAATCGCTTAAAATTATGCTTATATCGATTACATAAATACATACATAACTTCTCCCTCATTTAAATAAGAATTCTCCTGAATTCTGTATTGTTATTAAATTTTCTTATTAGAGGTAATA